GCTCAAGCCTCCAACGAGGGAACATGCAGGAGCTGCACCCACCAGCAGGTGCGATACCTGCCACAGCAGGTGGGCGATACAGGCCAGGGTTCAGCCGGTAGCATCAGGACCGAGCTTCTGCGATGGGCCAGTCTCTGTGCCTCCCCTCCACTAGGAGGGGGGGGGGTAGAGAGGGGGGGGAGGGGGAGGGGGACGAACCGCATATCTCTAGGTGGCGGGTGCCAAGCTTGCCCAGGAAGGTACATGAGGCCAATGGGGATCGAACCCAAGACCTCCTGGATGCCACTTGTGTGCCTTACCACCTGAGCTAAGCCGCAGGCTAAAAAAAAAAAAAAACTGGTACTCTTGGGTGTACGCAAGGCAACTGAATCTTCAGCTAGAACATGGAAAGATACACCGCCAAGGCCATAAAAAGCCTCGGAGCGGCCGTCAGCCTCTCTGGGCCTCGCTGCACTGCTCTTGAATAAAAAGCCTCGGAGTAGCCGTCAGACTCTCTGGGCCTCGCTGCACTGCTCTTGAATAAAAAGCCTCGGAGTGACCGTCAGACTCTCTGGGCGTCGCCGCACTGCTCTTGAAATGCACAAAAGACCAAAATAATGGCGGAGTATGTCCATATTCTAGCGGAAGATTCACTCTCGTTTTGCACATTTCAAGAGTAGTGCAGCGAGGCCCTCTGTAGGTGAGGAGAAGTAGCCATGAGACTCGCTGTAGGAGGCAGCAAAAACGAATAGTATTCTACACACCAAAAAAGAGGTTAGTATTCTACACCGTATTCCCTCTCCCTCCATTCCACACGGGACCCCTAAAGCAACTAAGGCTTGGATCCACACTATTGTTAGTGAGGCAATTTTGGGTAAAATTTCGGATCCCACAATGCACCGGGGCTTTCGGGACCCGAAACAAATTTCGCCTGTTTCTACTCACTATGTGCACCGTGTCGACCAGGCCGCGACACCCGCCGCGAAACGACACTTGTTTCGCAAAAGCCGCCAGCCCCCTGCCCTGTTCCCTAAAAGCTGCGAGCACCAAAAAAACAGTTTTTTTTTTTTTTTCCGTTTACGGCAGCGCGATTGGGTCCGACGCGAATGGACCAACATATTTCGGCAGGATTTTCGCGAAAGCCCCTCGAAGGACGGGCCAGTGGAGTCCAAAAAAATTTTACGGACCAAAAGGCAAGGACCCTCCTTTCGAGGGGCTTTTCCGATTTTTTGTTGGATCCCACATGGCGCTTTTAACAAAAAATCGGAAAAGCCCCTCGAAAGGAGGGTCCTTGCCTTTTGGTCCGTAAAAATTTAAATTTTTTTGGACTCCACAGGCCTGTCCTTCGAGGGGCTTTCGCAAAAATCCTGCCGATTCCATTAAAAATTAAAAACAAGACATACATAAAAGGGCACATTAAAACCATTCATTTTTTTCATTCTTATTTAAGAAAGTGCTCTCATAAGAGGATCAGGCCAAGCAAGCAAATCTTCATAAAAGGGCACATTAAAACCATGCATACACGAGGGAGCTTCATCGATGCATCTGGCCGCAATTACGGCCACCGTCGGATGCACTTGGCAGCAAATACGTGCAGATTCTGAAGATACTACAAGTCCAAACATGGATAGCGTGACGAAGTAGTCCCTCAGGGTGTCATGCTCTCCATCGAGTGTAAACGGGTACAAGCAGATTTACGGCCTCACTGCGCCATTCACTAATCGTGAAAAAGACAAGTAAAACGGAAAAAGGAAAGAGAAGTTTCTCTGATTTTTCCCCCTTTTTTTTAAATTTAATTGTCTTTTTTTTGGAAAAAAAACAGTCCTTTCTCGGCCTCTTTCGGCTAAGACGAAGTGCACTATCTGTGCTAATCGGCTTCATATCTGATCCGTGGTCCATCGGGCCACATTAAAAAAAAAGACAAAAAAAATGACGAAAAAAAAGACGCAAAAAATGAAAATGGCGAGTGTATCATCCCACCTTCATACTGATTTGGTGAGTAGAGAAGAGAGGCTCTCCTCCCCCCCCGCCCCCCCGTTTTCCCCCTCTCTCCTCCTCCTCCTCCTCCTCCTCTCACCGTCCTCTTTCCGGCCGTCCACCTCTCCTCCCTCCTCTCCCTCCTCTTTCCCCACTTTCCCCGAATATAACGCGCAGGGTTAATACTGCTCCACCTCCCCCACCCCCCGCCCTAGCCACCTCCCTCCTCCCCTTCCTCCTCCTGTCCCTCCTCCCCCAACTTTCCCCGAAGAGAAACGCATCGGCGAATGCCATCGTGGATGTTTCCAATGCGGATTTCAAGTCAGATACAGATATAGCCTGCCATCGCGGCCGTAAGTTGCATTCGCCCTGCCATCGGGGGAAGAAGGCAACGACGGCATGGGCACGGAGGAACATGAAGCGCGCCAACAAGACGAGATTTCATCCATCCATCATCCCTGAATGTTCGCCGTACAGTATTCCCAGAATCCTGCCTCTCTCTCTCCCTCTCTCTCTCTCTCTCTCTCTCTCTCTCACACACACACACACACACACACACACACACGAACACGTGTTCTGATCTCTCCCTCCCCCCTTCTCTCTCTCTCTCTGATTAACTGCTACAGTATTCTCAGATTCCTGCCTCTCTCTCTCTCTCTCTCTCTCTCTCTCTCTCTCTCTCTCTCTCTCTCTCTCTCTCTCTNTCTCTCTCTCTCTCTCACACACACACACACACGACACACACACACACACACGTGTTTTGATCTCTCCTCCCCCCTTCTCTCTCTCTCTCTCTCTCTCTCTCTCTCTCTCTCTCTCTCTCTCTCTCTCTCTCTCTCTCTCTGTGTGTGAAGATTGGAAGAACTTGGCCAGAAAAATCGCGATCGAAACATAAAGCCACTTCTACGATGAAAACAACGAGACGACCATATGCCGAACAAATTCCAAATCGCACATAAATATTCGGAAGAAATCTATAATAGGGATATAACCACCAAGCAGCCACAAAAGGAGCGGACGGGTACTGCTTGTCCACGAACCGTAAGTACAATCGTTTTTTGCACCTCATGATATTCCATCAGTAATAGTAAAACACTGTAATATGCTCGCGAACAAATAAATAAACAAAAACAAAAACAAAAACAAAAACAAGACACATTCGTTTCACTTCGTAAGATTTCCACCAAATAATTTTAAACGACACATATCACGAATGCTGGATACTTATACAGCGACAATAAAAAAAAAAAAAAAAAGCGAAAACCTAAAGACGAATTTCACCAGAACGGAGGTCAGAATGAGGAAACTGGACAGCTCACCTGGAATTGAAGGATACCAGTTTAATTCATGGGATATGAAGACGCTAAATGTGAAATCCAAATTTTCGTGGGAATAATAATAATAATAATAATAATAATAACAATAATAATAATAATACGTAATAATAATGAAACTCACGAATTACAACAAAGGAAGAAATTTTAGGGTACCTAAAAACGTTTACCGGGTCGCTTCATAGGATATGAAGACGCAGAACATTTTCGGAAATGAATTATTCCGCACATCGTGACCAGAAGAGCATCAAGATATGCGATTAACATTTTCGGAAATTAATTTTTCCGCACATCGAGACCAGAACAGCATCAAGATATCCGATGAACATTTTCCGAAATGAATTTTTCCGCACATCGAGACCAGAAGAGCATCAAGATATCCAATGAACATTTTCGGAAATGAAAATTTTCCGCACATCGAGACCAGAAGAGCATCAAGATATCCGATGAATATTGTCGGAAATGAATTTTTCCGCACATCGAGACCAGAAGAGCATCAAGATATCCGATATCAGCATCAACAACGATTATGCTTCTTCAAGT